CACGCAATGTAACCTGTTGGCATAAGAAGTTGAAACAATTCAACTAATTTCAGCCATTAATGCAAATTATTTCATTGCAATTGGTATGGTTCACAGGACTGATCCCTCTCCATTACAGGTGGCTACCAGTTTAATAAAATAGGCACAACTTGTGTGAGCAGAAAGGGAAAGCTCTGTTTATGAGGATACGGAACAAAATGTTTGCCTGCGAGTACAGAGAAGTGACTCCACTGAGGAGATGGGTTGTACAGGGAGGCGAATTAACCACACAACATGGGATCCCACAATCAAGAGAAGTCTCCTTTAAAGGACTACCAGTCTGATAATCAACGTACAATGGTCTCGTTCCACAAACTCAGCACCCACACTGTTTTGCCTTGGTGGTTGCTGTCATTTGTTGATGTTAAATCACAATGACCAGTTGGTGGAGGCTGTTGGGATGTTCAACATGATGAGGGGAGTCATTCAGGGTCAATAAAGAGAAACTGTTTCCTCTGGTGGGAGGAGTGCAGAATTGAGTTGGTAGGGGTCAGAACATTAAGATTAGAGCTAGGCCATTCAAGGCTAAGGTCAGAAAACACTTCTTCACACAAAAAAGAAGTGAAAGTCTGGAACTCCTAAACAAAAAAAAAGGCATCAAGGATATGGTTCAATTGAAAGTTTCAGAACAGAGATTGATAGATGCTTCTTGGATGAGACTGCTGAGGGATATAGAGCCAAGGCAGGTAACTGTAGTCAAAACACAAAATTAAACAAAGAAATGCTGATGCTAGGAATCTGAAACAGAAACAGAAATTGCTATTGCAGAAACTAAGCAGCATCTGTCAAAAGGGAAACAGAGTTAACATAGAGTTCAGTGATCCTTCCTCAGAACTATAAAGGTGAAAGCTGCTACCAGACCTGCTGAGTTTCTCCTGTAATTTCTGTTTCTGTTGCAATCAAAACACAGATCAGCCACAATCAGACTCAGTGGTGAACATGCTGCACCAGATGAATGGTCTCTTCCTGTTCCAATTTATGGGGTGTGATCATGCTGTTGTTCCCATATGTTTGCATTGTGAGTCACACTTTGTCCTTCAGGTGGTCTGGCTGACGATAGAAGGCTGGACCATCAGTCCTCATGAATGTGACACAAGCAGTTTGCAAATGTTCCAGTACAGCAATGACCGGTCACATAGCCTGACCAATTAGAGATTCCAAAAGATATTTATTCCCAACCATGCAAACATGTTCTGCAGACCAGCAAGGGCAGAACAGAGTGGGAATTGCATTGTTCTCACCAACATATTAGCTGATTAACCTTCATCACAACATAGGAGTAAGCAGCTGGAAACAAGTCCATATGAAGAGAATCTGGATTGGTTAGCGCTGTATCACTGGATTTTGAAAGAATGAGAGAGGAATCCCAGGGAAACCCCGATAAAATTCAAACAGGACTAGACAGGGTAAATGCAGGAAGAATGTTCCCAATGACAGCGGGTTCTGTGCTGAAAATAGTGCTGAAACATCAAGCACAGAATTGACTTCTAGGTCCTGAAGTCAATGCCGTACATGAAACTTACAGGCCCACGCAGCCGGGATGAAAATTAGAGGGAACACTGCCAGTGAGTTCAGAACCTGGGGTTACAGTCCAAGGATATGGGCAGGCCATTTAGGACTGAGATGAGGTGAGATTCCTTCACCCAGAGTAGAGAGTCAGTGGAATTCTCTGCCACAGGAAGCGGTTGAGGCTAAAACATTAAATGCTTTCAAGGATAATAGGAACTGCAGATGCTGGAGAATCCGAGACAACAAGGTGCAGGGCTGGATGAACACAGCAGGCCAAGCAGCATCATAGGAGCAGAGAGGCTGACGTTTCGGGCCTAGACCCTTCATCAGAAAAGGGGGAGGGGAAGGGGGTTCTGAAATA